TTATAACATGTTATTTTTAACGTGAGGGAGGGGGAAGCAGGGAGGGAGGGGTAAAAATGAGGAGCTGATGCCAGGGGCTTAAGTGGAGAGCAAATGTTGTGAGAATGATGAGGGCAATGAATGTACAAATGTGCTTTACACAATTCATGTATGTATGAATTGTGTTGAGTTGTATGAGACCCTAATAAAATGATTAAAAACAAAAAGAAAAGAAATGAGGATGGTGACACTTCATCTCACGGACTTTGTATTTGTTGTCTGGAAGCCGGTCCCTGGGGAAGGCAACAGGCCTCATAAAGCAAAGGGTGAGTGACAAAGAGGAGGGACCTCAGTGGACGGACTGACAGAGCGGCTCCGGCAGTGGTCTCCCACATAGCGGGGATGGGGAGGCTGGTGAAGTGCCACCAGTGTTTCACTCGGTTGTAAACAGCGTGGCTTCGTGATGGAGCCAACTTTGAATCACCTAACAACCAACAGTTGATGGGCCCTATTCCCTCCCTAGTCTCTGCACGCTGTTTGGCATGTAGAAATGTGATGGTAGTATTTGACCCCAGGAGAGACAGATTTAGACATTATTTTCTCAAGATCTGCTGCAGAGCATGTTGGGTAAATCTAATGCTGAGTTATATACAATTTCACTCTGGGGCCTCACTTTGGGGAATTTTGGCTGAGGATGGCATCCTCTCATGCAGGGCCTTTTGTTTTCTCGATGAGTAATCAATGACTACTGACTGCAACAAAAAGAACAATACCTGCTGGTTTATGATCTACTCTAAATTTTCTTCAGTGATCATTTGTGACGGGAACACAGTACACAGTTTTTATAGTAAGGAAATACGAGAGATGACTTATAGAACATCAAGTATTGAAAACTTTTCTCTTCTCTAAATGGTGAGTTTGGCAGTTTTAACTCACCTAGAGGTATATTGGGAGACAAGCATGACAACTTGTTTCTGAAAGGTCACAACACATTGCAACCGCTTGGAGTACGTCTATCCTGCACACATCGGCGAGTGTGAGTAAGAACGGTAATATTAACTAACAACAATCCAGATCTTTCTAAAATCTATTCTAAAAGCAAGGAAAAACATATACTAAGCACTGAGAAAGAGAGATGAACCTGAATTAAAGAGTTATTTTGGAATCAACCTGAAATTTGAGTTTGGAACTTTGAATGCTCATAAGGAAAGTTTTAGATGTTAT